TATCGTACATAGCAGAACCCACACTGGGGAGAAACCCTATGAATGTTTGGAGTGTGGAAAAACTTTCAGCAGAAGATGCACTTTAACCTTACATAATAGGATCCATACAGGGGAAAAGCCGTATCATTGCACAGTGTGCGGGAAGAGCTTCGCGCAAAAAGGCAATTTCAATTTACATAAGAGCATCCACACCGGAGAGAAGCCGTATAAATGCGCAGAGTGTGGGAAATGCTTCAGGACCTCCTTTGAGCTTACTTCCCATAAGAGGATCCACACAGGAGAGAAACCCTATGAATGCCTGGAATGTGGGAAAAGCTTTAGCAGCAGCTCTACTCTAACCGTACATAATAGGATGCATAAAGGGGAAAAACCTTATAAATGCCTGCACTGCGAAAAAAGCTTCAGTCAAAAAGGTCATCTTAAGTCACACAAGAGGATCCACACGGGGGAAAAACCATTTCAATGCATGGAGTGTGGAAAGAGGTTCCATTTCTCAGCAAACCTTACGGCCCATCACCTGCAATGTGGCAAGCGCTTTGCCCGTTCTCATAGCTTTCATGCCCGCGAACGGACCCACACATGAGAAACCGTACAAATGCCTGGAGTGTAGAAAGAGCTTCCGTAAATCCAGCCACCTAATGTCCCATTGAAGTACCCACAGTGCAGAGAAACCGTATGTGGGAAGCGCTTCAGTCATACAAGTCAACTTAATATCCATAAAAGGACCCACACAGTTGAAAAGCCCTATAAGTGCACAAAGTGTGACAAATGCTTCACCGATTCGGGGGCCCTCACTTGCCATAAAAGGCTTCATACTGGGGATAATATGAATGCTGCACGTGTGGAAAGAGCTTCAATGTAAAAAATAACTATATTGTACATAGTAGAACTCACAGTGGATAGAAACCATATCAGTGTCAATAGTATGTAAAACCCTTCAGTGAGTTTTCAGAACTGAAGATCCATAAAAGGATTCACACGGGGAGAAACCATATAAGTGTATGGAGTGTGGGATGAGTTTCAGAAGAAGTGGTTATTTGCATCCACAAGAGGATCCATATGGAAAGTTTTGCAACTGTCAGTTACAGGAGGAGTAGCTACCATAAAAATGAATATTTTACCAGGCCTAGTACATTTATTCCAAACAATTCCAATAAAATTGGGAGGAAATATTTTGAAGAATTAAATAAAATAATATTAAGTTATATCTAGCTAGGGAAAAAAAAGCAAGAATATGTTGCAAGACTCCAAAAATTGTACTACCAGGCCTCGGTACTTACATGGGCGAAAGAATGGATCAATTTGAGGTAGAAAAGACTATTAACTCTAGAAGGGCACAACCTTCAACTTGGTTGGCATACTTTTTTTTACGGTATGGGAAGAATAAGATACGTAGTTATTTTCAAAGACATTATGTTAGAAATGCATTGTTATCAGTATGGCTTAAAATTAAAGAACAACACTACTTAAAAATACCAGTGTGACTTTCCACAATGGAAGCATTTATACACCCTAGTGTTATTCATATGGAAAAAAAATGTGTAAGATATAAAATATTTGAATGAAAAAGGGGAATTAAAAACTAAGCAGGAGCGTAGCAGTCAAGGGATGTATCAGCTTTGGAAGCCACATTGAGATCTGATGCTCCCACACTGCCACATTTGAGCCTGAGAAAGTGGGAGGGAGGAATTTATTGAAATATGTCTAGTTAGACATAACAACATTCTTCTTCTGATTCAAGGTCAGGTCGTCGCATAAGAGAGAGGAAGTATTAACTTGGGATGGATGGTGATTGGGCCATGAGATGTAATGATGGGTGCAGGGGATAGATTTTGTAGTTTTTACTTAGTGTAAGGAAGCCCGGAACTTTCAGTTTTGGGATCCCCCCCAGTTGTGCCAGGTACTATCCAAATAAAAAGGAATCTTTGAGAAGATGTCTGTCTCGGAGTTATTGGAGGGTTGCTGGAACGCTGACAGGATGGACATCACATGGTGGCCACAAACGCAGACACAATCTTGATATGAGAAAGATGCTAAAATATATGGTTTTAATAAAGAATGAAGAGAATTGGACCAGATATTAACTGGAACTGATGAAAAACTGATAAAGAAAATATATTGCTACTTATTAGGTATTAAACTTGAAAGTGAGCAGGTAAAGGAAACGATGTTTGGCTGAAAAAAATTTGGATATATAATAGAATTAGACAAATGGCAGAAATCATGGGATTGTTTTTTTTTTAATTGTGAAGTCATGTCCGACCCATCGCAACCCCATGGACAACATTCCTCTAGGCCTTCCTGTCCTCTACCATCCCGCAGAGTCCATTTAAGCTCACATCGACTGCTTCAGTGACTCCATCCAGCCACCTCATTCTCTGCCGTTCCCTTCTTTTGCCCTCAATCATTTCCAGCATTAGGCTCTTCTCCAGTGAGTCCTTCCTTCTCATGAGGTGGCCAAAGTATTTGAGTTTCATCTTCAGGATCTGGCCTTCTAAAGAGTAGTCAGGGTGGATCTCCTCTCGGACTGACCGGTTTGATCACCTTGCAGTCCAAGGGACTCGCAGGAGTCTTCTCCAGCACCAGAGTTCAAAGGCCTCCATTCTTTGGCACTCAGCCTTTCTTATGGTCCAACTTTCACACCCATACATTGCAAATGGGCAAACCATAGCCTTGACTATACATACTTTCGTTGGCAGGGTGATGTCTCTGCTTTTTAGTATGCTGTCTAGATTTGCCATAGCTTTCCTCCCCAGGGGCAAGCATCTTTTAATTTCTTGGCTGCAGTCCCCATCTGCGGTGATCTTGGAGCCCAGGAAAATAAAATCTGTCACTACCTCCATTTCTTCCCCATCCATTTGCCAGGAATTGAGAGGGCCGGATGCCATGATCTTAGTTTTCCTAATGTTGAGTTTCAAGCCAACTTTTGCACTCTCCTTTTTCACCCGCATCAAGATCATCCGTGGTATGATCTGCATATCTGAGATTGTTGATATTTCTCCCGGCAATCTTAATTCCAATTTTTGATACATCTAGCCCTGCCTGTCTCGTATGCTCTGCATATCAGTTAAATAGGCAGAGCAACATTATACAGCCTTGCCAGACTCCTTTCCCAATTTTGAACCAATCAGTGGTTCTGTGTCCAGTTCTCACAGTTGCTTCTTGACCCTCATACAGATTTCTCAAGAGACAAGTAAGATGGTCTGGTACTCCCATTTCTTTAAGAACTTGCCACAATGTGTTGTGATCCACACAATCAAAAGCTTTAGCATCGTCAATGGGATAGATGTTTTTCTGGAACTCCCTAGCTTTCTCCATGATCCAGCGTATGTTGGCAATTTGATCTCTAGTTCTTCTGCCTAGTCGAAATCCTGCCTGTACTTCTGGTAGGTCTTGATCCACATACTGCTGGAGTCTTAGCTTTTAGGATTTTAAGCATAGCTTCACTAGCATGTGAAATGAGTGCAATACTGTGATAGTTTAAAGTTGGCTTGTCCAACCTTTCACCTTCCCTGGGCCACATTAGAAGAAGAAAATTTGGTTTGGGCCGCACATAAAATAAAATAACAGTAACGATACCTGATCATCCAAAAAAAACATAGAAAACATTTTTTTCATAAGATATCATAAAAAATAGTCAAGCAGGGAGAAAGGAACGCGGGGTGGGGGGGAGAAAGCTCACCCACCTCGCGCCTACCTCTCCTCCTGCAAATGGCCTGGCTGGATGCAGAAGGACTGGAAGGCGAGGACCGGGAGGCTCGGTGCAGCGGGGGCGGCGGGGGCAGAAGCTGCTACAACAGCTCTGGCGGCAGGGGAGAAGCCACTACAACAGCTACAGCAACAGCGGCAGCAACAGCAGGAGGTGGCAGAGCGGGACTCTTTGCACGAGGAGCGCTCTGACGGTGCCCACCTTTTCTGTTGCTGCTTGGCGTGGCGCTCGCCTCACCCTGCCTCGCACCTGCCTCTCCTGCTCCTCCTCGCTGGCTCATCCTCTTGCATGAAGGTTGGGGTGGGCACTGGGCCGCATTATGAGCTAACCTGGGCCGCATGCGGCCCGTGTGCCGCGGGTTGGACAAGCCTGGACTAGAAGATCTCCAAGATCCCTTCCAATTGTGATATTCTGTTATTGGGGGATTGGCACATCTGGGGAGGTGAGGGGAGAATCCTCTTACCTGCATTGGAAGCTCAGCTGCTGTTGATCCTCCATTACAAAGAACTGGGGTTCCGGGAGATGAAGCCATGGCCACGAAAGGGTCTAGGAGTGGAAACAAACAGCAAAGGAATAATTGGCTATCAAACATCCTAAGGATATTCTTGAACGTACAATGCAAAAGGCTGGACTAGAATGCCTCCAAGACGCCTTCAAACTGTTATTCGCCTTCAAACTCTGTTATTCTATGTTTCTACAATGTCAACCTTCTCCTGTCAGATAATCAGGGAAGATGACAATAACTCTTTTTTCCCAGCTGCGACTTTCGCTTGCGAATAGCATACAGCAAAAGTGGAAAACTGGAGACCTTTTATGACTGGTGGACTTCAACTGCCGGAATTCCCGACACAGCAGTCTTAAAGGGGCCCTAGTTTCCCACCCCTGGACAAGAGCAATATTTCTTCAGCCTGGCAGCTGTTAAGATATGTGGACTTCAACACACGTGGGGAATTCTGCGAGTGGAAGCCCACAAAAAGGTTGCCCAGGTTGAGAAACAACGGCCCACAGGAAAGAGCGACGCCTCTTTAAATGCACCCAAAAATGCAGTTCAATTGAACGATGGGAACGAGGAAAGGAAGGCGGGCGAAGAGATGGAAGGGCGTCCAGAGGAGCCTTGAGCCGATGCTCTTTCCGGAGAGGGCTCGTCTTGAGTGGCTCCCCGAAACAGCAGCGCCTGGGAGGGATCGCCCCCCTTTTCTCCCCGCCGGTTTCGCAGCCCTTCAACTCTGAGCCTCCTGGATCTGAAACAGCCCCAGAGCAAAGGAAGCGACGGGAAATGGTCAGGAAGGGCTGGCAAAAAAGAAAGGAGAATAAGAATCATCTCCCCCAGGAAAAAGTGGGGACAGTACCAGCAATCTTAGCAGTGCCCCAAGAAGCTACCTTGAAGGCTCACCTGTCCCGGCATTTCCCAGGAAGGAAGGAAGGAGGGAGGGAGGGAGGGAGGGAGGGAGGGAAGAAGGAAGGAAGGAAGGAAGGAAGGAAGGAAGGAAGGAAGGAAGGGAAGGAAAAGGAAGGAAGCTTTTTACCTGGCTTTCAACAGGAAACATGCAGTTTCTTCCTCGCCCAGACTCCTCTTTCCAAGAGATGCCTGCAGGAAAGGATCTGCGATCGCCACCGCCCATGCTTCCTTCCTTCCCAGCCATGAATGTGGCTCCCACTCCCCAGAAGGACCCCAGCTGGAGCCCTAGCCGGAAGCACTTATAGCTCCTCCCATTCTCTACCGGGTGGAGAGCTGGGGTCCCCCTGCCTGCCCCCTTCCTTCTGCCCCAGGGGAATCGGTCCCGGATGGGAAGGTCAGCTGGGCAGGGAGTCTAGGGCTGCTTCGCCCCAGGCAGTCAGAGAAACAGGGAAGAGGGAGGGGATGAGACCAAGAGACAGCGTTAGGAATGTAAGTCACCTAACAGTTATTCGGGTTGGAAATATATAAACTAGGATAGATATTTTAATACTATGGCTTTAAG